TCACAACTCTCTTACCTTGCGTACTAAGAAAGAGATTCACGATGAAGACACTTGCATTATGGCTGCTTTTGGGTCTTTTAGTGTGCGTCAGTACGGAAAATGAGGTAGAAGACGCAATGGGCTTGGAAGAAAAAGCCTTTGACGATGATGAGGTCATGGGATACGACGACGACGACGACGACGACGACGATGATAACGATGGTGACGAAGATGACGATGACGATAATGGTTCTGGTGGTCCTTCACCTCCTAGTGGAAAGGTATATATAGCTCCAATTGTATGTTGTAGTCTCATGCTAATCCATCTCAATTGAAAAACTAATACGATGTTCAAATAATACATTTCGCAATTCCAAAGTATATATTTTTTGCTCTATAAAACCATACAAAAAATGTGTCTTTTTAATAGGATTGGGCATTGACGATTCTCTTTGCTCAATGAATTCTTCATAGTGATATTATAATGTTGTTTGTAGAACATTTGGTACAGGAACCAGCTAACGGGAAAAACTTTTACACACTGTATTACAAAATTGCAGTCGCAGATTGATATTCATCGATTGCGATAATGTTAAGAAAATGAAAATCTTTGCTTGCAGTATTATTTATCATGACAATTCGCTTTGCTTTTCAGGATTTGTATTGTAATTATTAGTCTCCATTGATTGCTTYATGCAAGGCAAATAGTGTCCATTTGAAAGATCAAATGTTGTTTGTTTTTGCTTCCCTTTTCCCACCTTTAACGCTTTCTTTGATTTGCATGACACAAACGCTTGCTATTGTGTTACTTCAGCATGACTCATTCGGCGAACGTTGCTTAAGTAAATAAGGCAGTCCGCCTAAAACTGAGGAAAGAGACCCTCTGCCAGTAAGAGAACATCAGTATTAAGTACCGTAACTTAATTAAGGAATAAAAGACGAAATTCCGTGTTTGATACTCTGATCAAAACACGCGGGATGTAGGGAGAGCACGAGAGAAGCGTAGGAAACCACGACGCGTAGCGTAAATATTTTAGAATACTTGATCAATACCGCCGTCTAAATGCATTATTCATATCTATAATTCCGTACACTTCAACTTATACAGCAGCGAGAGACGAACAGTAAACCGTATGTTCTCCGATATTTAAAATCGCAAAGACTGCAAATAAATCCTGAAATCATTCAGTTTTATTTTACACTTTATACATTTGTTGATTTTGTTGTATAAACAATACAGTGTACTTTATTTAACTTGTATGTAAACAATTCTCTTTAAGCGATCTTTTGTTCTCGTTCCTTTGCCTACTTTATGTTTTAGCTAACGCGGCTTACATAGTTTCATTCTAGTTYCTAGTCTTCTCGCTATTATCAAAGCTGCTCAACTGAGACAGGAAGCCTCAGAAGTATTTCAATTGATGTCTACCAAAATGGCCGCCGTATCGTCTAAGAAARGGGGAAAAAAGGCGGAATACATTTTCCTACCGTATAAATTTTGAGCTCGCACACTGTTATGTTCAGCAGCCTCGTTCACATTCAGCACACAGAAAAGATTTCGCTGCCGATTTTTTCTCAATTTTTTAAATTTGAGTTTGAAATTTTGGTTCACAAAATGCAAACGTATAATTAAGCATTATTTAACGCTCTTTGAATTCCAAGAAGTGGTCTAATTTGTAATCTTCTCTAGTTTTCCCTTGTTCTTCATATTCACGTCAAGATCCATTCCTGCTAAAATACTGTGAATTTTCTTTTCTTAGCTTCCCACAGATCTCATAGCTATTTCGACAATCGTAACCGCGAAAACGATTAAAATGTTTCACAACGTTGTTTGCGTTTTTAAGCATCAGGCATCTAAGTCACCCAAATCCCATCCAACATGGTTGCTAACAATTGATACATCATGTTAATTCCGTTCCTTGACCGTTTCTTTAGTGAAAACAAGCCCTTGTCAAGTGCTATATCACCGATAAGATCCGCAAAGAGCACAGGCGTCCCAGGCTGG